CTCTTTCTCCTTCCACGTCATCATTCATATCTTGGTCCGTCTCTTGTCGGTCTCTCCAATCTTCTTTCGGTGTGGAAGGCAGTCGATCCGGTCGGTCGGTTTGTTCCATCCTCTTCCCCTATACCGGCTAATAGCACAGACAAAAAACCATCTTTGACTGCTCCAAATAGAACATAATTTGGATGTAAAAGGTGGTGACACCAACAGCCAACCAACAAACAGATTGGAGATCGGCCCGTTAACCACGACGTTTTTCTTTTCCTCCATTCGCCTGCATATCTGTCGGTGTCGTGGTATTGCTTCAAGCGTCTGTCTTGAGCCACACATGAAGAAGGCACTCACACTGAACATGATACATGCACTGAGCCTTCACATGTGTAACCCCCTCCCGCGGAGCTCGACCCTCAACCGGTCGTCAAAATAGCCCCCAAGGAGTCGAAAGCCGTTTAGGTGATCTCCCATACGTACATGACGATGTACCGGTATGCACGCTATTTCACATCCATTAGCATTTGTGTCCCGGTATAGGCAACTGAGATGATCGAAGCCTGTCAGAATAGTATAGAGCAGATCATGTAGGGCCGATCTGCTCACATCTCACATCCCAAGCTCATCACCCACTGCCCCTTCCACTAACTTAACGGCGACATGATCGGGGCCCGGACTTATCGCCGGCTCCCAATCACAATGTTTGCGCTGTTTTCTCGGTTCAATAGGATGTGTGATGAGATGCGCCTCATACATATATCGCGTTCGTGGCATTGATTACATAGCCCTTGAGAGGATGTTCCTCTCGGATTCGGGGATAGTGAGTGCTTTTTCCTCCCTTGTCCTGGCTTCCCAAGAAGAAAAGTCTCCGACTTCAACCAGAGGATATCTCAAGTCACTCAAATTTACTTAAGAATATTCACTCACAACGGTAGTTGCGGTACAAACCGAACATTTTCAATGATATTCCCAGTCGCGGAGCCTTCGATTCGAAATCTCACTCGACACCACGTGCAATACAACTCGAATTGTTTCACGCAAGGATAAAATAAATCCATGCTCCCCCCCCCCCCCAACCCCCACATTCATGTGCTCCTGGAGGCAGTCCAGGCCGACGTGATACATACCTACAGTCGTTGTGTCATGGAAGCCTATAATACGGAGTACCGCTGTGTACTAATGGCGTATCCGTAATGGTACCCGTATCGGCTCGGTGCAAGTTCCGGGATCCGGATCCGTCTCACACCCTCCACCCGAACCTTCCTTCCCTACTACACACTGAGATGCTGTGTATCCTTCCTTCCTTCCGAGTACACATCCATGACTCGCAGTAGAGGCAGGTAGGTAGACACCTTGCCGGCCGGGACTAGCCGCTGCTGACCAACTACGTACATCCGCCTGCGCGGGGGAAACGGGGTTTGAACTTGGCTTCATGCTTCTTGACTTGCTCAATGTCTTGTTCCCGGGGATTCAGCTCGCTTGCTCGGTGACCTGCCGGACTTGGGACGGCGTCGAGGTTTGTTGATGGACAAGCTTGCTCACTACCTATACCATTGACATACCCAAGATCCATCCATTATCTAACATTCAGCACGCAGAACAAATAAAAATAAAAATATCTGCGTCCGTCTGCCCGTACCAAAGACCGAAACTCGCAAGAACACAATGGAACCCACCGCCTCGCACTCCGCCGGGCTGTCTACCCGGAACCCGGCCCCGACCGACGACCGACAAGGCAGGTTGGCTTGACGATTTGTTGGTAGTGGTATCCGTAGTTGTATTCGTCCGTCGGCCGGTGTTTGATGCTTGGTACCGTACTACACTACCTCGCCCTCACCCCTTGCTTGCTCGGTGAGCGTTCCAGTATAAAGATCCGATCCGATCACACCAACGTACATGACTTCCGGGCTGACATAATCCATCCAACCTACCTTACCTTTTGGGGGGGATACTGGTACAACCATTACTACTTACCTACTGTACATCCATACACGTATCAGCGATTACCTACCTTCCTTCACTTGTAATAATTCCCTGTCTTCTAGCAAAGGTATTGATATCTACCGCGGTAGGTATATACGCAAAATGGACACTAACCTGATTTGCAGTGTACCGCTCAAGGGGTTTAGAGTCTAGTCTCACCAACGTACCGACCTTGAAAAGAAACCAACCCTGAAAGGCGTAGAGCCACAGACAAGCAGGAGGTGCGAGACTACGAGCAGGTAAACGTTTTCACGCCCAGACTCAGCATAGCTAGCTACCCTCGCGCCTTACCAACAATTGACTTGGGAGTTACTGGAACTCACGTGTACAAAAGTACCTATATCTCCCCTTATTAGACTCTCCGTCTTCAACTTCCTTCCATATATATCTGTAACTCAAGTCGTATTATACCTTGAGTCCAATCAGTCTCGTCCACATATTAGTACACCGAAGGGCAACTACATACGCACCTTATACTACATACATGTAGAGCCCCCACGTTTTTTTCCTGATTATGTATGGGTTATTGATCCAAGGGCAAGGAAATCGGATCCTTCAAGAAAATTCAAGCACGTCAAGCAAGCAGCTGTCTTTTTTCCTCTGAAGTACGTATATACTATAGCTCCTACACATGTACGTCTGGATTCACCATGCATGATATATTCTCTTCTCTGGCAACAGAAGAGGACCGAAAAACCCCACGTCTTGTTGCGTGGGATGTTTGTTATTGAAATACATGGATAGTATGCAACTTTTTCGGTTGATATTTCACACATACATGCAGACCAGCCAGTAAGTACACGTATAATAAACGTAGGTACATAGGTAAGGTAGGTGCTTTCTTTCTAACAGTCTGTATTGTAGTTGATATATAGTATTTTGTCTAAACACCCATTAACATTTTTGGAAAATCCCAAAACTTTTGACTAGGTACCCGAGGACAATATCATCAACAGATAAATAAACCCAACCAACTGATCTTGCCACCCACAAATGAGTGAGTTCCTCACAACAACCGCTCATGTTTATACGCCCTCTTCCCCTCCCCCTCGCCATAACTCAGCGTGCACTGTCCCCCGCCCCGAATCTTGTACTTGTAAATCATGAGCCCCTCCAATCCGACCGGACCCCGGGAGTGGATCTTGTTGGTGCTGATCCCAACCTCGGTGCCAAACCCATACCGCATGCCATCCGCAAACCTAGTAGATGCGTTCCAGTAAACCCCCGCCGAGTCGACGGCGTTCATGAACATCTCGGCCTGTTCCTTGGACGCGGTCAAGATCGCATCTGTGTGGTGGGACCCGTGCGAGTTGATATGCTCGATCGCCTCCTGGAGAGAAGATACCGTCTTGACTGCTAGAGTGAGGGAGAGGAATTCTGTTGCGTAGTCGGATTCTTGAGAGCTGGTGACGGTGAGTGAGGGGTTGGTTTTGGACAGGGAGGCTTTGGATGCCTCGTCGCACCGGAGCTCGACGCCCTTGGCCGATAGAGCCTCGGCTACGGCGGGGAAGACGGTGGAGAGGGCGGATTCTTGGACCAGCAGGGTCTCGAGGGAATTGCAGGCTGCTGGGTAGGAGGTCTTGGAGTCGACGATTACTTGGGCGGCCATCTTGGGATCGGCGGATTCCTCCAGGTATATAGAGCAGAGGCCGTCTGCGTGGCCGAGGACGGGGATCTTGGTGTTGGACTTGATGTACCGCACCAGCTCGTTCGATCCGCGGGGGATGACCAGGTCGATGTGCTGATCGAGGTCGAGAAGCTGGGGAATCACATCACGGGTGGTGACGAGCTGGATGGCGCCGTTGGGGACCTGAGTCTTCTCCAAGGCGGCGGATATGACCCGTGAGATGGCCACAAACGACTCGGTGGACTCCTTGCCGCCCTTGAGGATGGCCGCGTTGCCGGACTTCACGGCCAGGGAGGCGATGTTGGCGATGACTTCGGGACGAGCCTCAAAGATGATGAGGAGCACGCCGATCGGACATGTGACCCGCTCCAGGTCTAGTCCATCATCGAGACGAGTGCGCAGCGTGACTTTTCCCACAGGGTCCTCGAGCTCGCGCACGTCCAGGATTCCTTTGAGCATGTCCTCCCATTTCCCCTTCTTGCCCAGGTCAAGCCGCGAAACGAGGCTCTGGCTCAGCTTGCCATCGGCAGCGGCTTGTTTGGCAAGTTCCAGGTCTCGGGCGTTGGCCGCCAAAATCTCATCCTTGGCAGTGTTCAGGCCGTCGTAGATGGCTGTGAGGGCATCGTTGCGGGCCGATGCCGGGAGGGTGGCCAGGACGTGGGAGGCGGCCTTGGCTTCTTTTGCTGCGTCCAGCGCACTTGCGGTGGTTAACGACATTTTGTATGTATAATGGGTGTGTGTGTGTGAATGCGCGGCTGCCTGCCCCTTTTTTGGTTGTTTTGATGAGATAGGATACTGATCGGTGACTCGACAGGGCTGATCTGGTGCTGGTAGAATGCGTATTCAAATACGCTTCTGTACGTATGAATTGTATTAATGAAGGATGTCCTATGAACCTCAGTCACTAACTCCACTGCGGTTGAAATAGGAGGCTTGTTGTTAGTGTCTGTGGACATTCATTCGGTTCGCCCACTTTATCCGTTGAATTGGTGTTATTTGATTGGTCCAAGACCTAATGGAGGGGTAAAATTTTCAACGACAAAGCAGTGCTTGGGGGTCGGCGTCGATGCCCGATTGTCAGTCTCACGCCCTTTGGCTTATCGTTCAATGAATGGAATGCCCTTTTTTGGATCTCCTTAACACTCGCTCATGTACGAATTTCTTTCCAGTCTAGCAATTACTCATTCAGCTCATTTATATACCAGTAGTTAGTTATATGGTGAGGTTTGTTGAATTTCACCTGTACCCCTCATCACCCTTCGAGTAACCCCGCGTGAAATTTTCAGGGTACTGCCCCGCGATCTTGGTTGCCCCACCAGAAAAAGAATCAGTATCACAAACACACACAAAAAAAAGACTATTGCTCACCACTTTGTATGAGTGATGATGATCGAGTTGTAACTGGACGAGCTGGGAATCGAACCCAGGACCTTTCGCATTCAAGCTGAGGCAAGTACTTCATACCCCAGGTCAGCACCCTGGTAAACCAAGGTGGTGTGACCCAGGAATCCATGCTAAGCGAACGCTCTACCAACTGAGCCACACGCCCTTGAACGATCTCTGATGAATTGTTGAGAGTCTGTTCTGCGGATGTGGGTTATATGGCGGGTGGTGGATGACGGGTACATGTGATGGGGCCGGAGGGCTAGGGTGGGTGTGGATAACTCTCCGGCGGACATACCATATCCTTAATTTCCGAGCAATGATTGGTGGTTTCATGCCTCTCGATATTTGTAAGTTTGGCAGCAGAGTCTGGATAACTCATCACGCTCATCCATTATTCATTCAATCAAGTCCTTGGTCAGTTGATATTCAGCACTGTTTTGTAATTATGGACCGGTGCCATGACGCCAGTTATACTGACTGGCTTGCAAGGATATGGAACGATCGTCAACATATAAAAAGCCATTGAACATATCAAAACAGCAAGTGAGGCTCAAGGACACTCGAACAAAAGGAATAACGGGCCAAATAGCAAGGCATTGTCTGACTTCAGATGTAATGACATCTCATCCGGTATCTTCATCCCATGACGTGAACGGCTTACATGCAAGACATTGTTCACTTGAGATGAAACTTTCATCCGAACTGGATAGCTCTCCATCCCATAAGCTCAGTTCATATCCATCCCATCTTGTAATCCATTTCATTTTGACCATTCCCGGAGCAAGTGGTATTTTATTCCAGACCTATTCATCCAATTCCTACCCAGTGCCTTAAGTTTGACCAGATAAACGCCCCAGTTTCATCTGTCTTTGGTACTTATTACAAGCAGGCGAGACCGGATGGCCAGCTGTGACGGCTAGCAAACAATGAGATAATACACATATAAAAATTACATCCTTCTCATGTTTGGTATTCATTGAATCTTTAAAGAGGAAACGTTAGTAGTGTAACTCCGTATCTGCTTAGACTAAGTGTCCTATGACCTGTCTCAATTAAAGACCATGATGACCTCACCAGATCACCAGATCACCAGGTGAGTTGAATCGCTTCCACATAAAATATTAGAAAAGCAATGTCGAGGATAGAACCCAAACTAGATGCCTGGCTGAGCAAAATCTCGTATTAGACAAGTTTCACAAAAATACCATCAAACTCCAGTTCCCATATCCCCAAAAAGAAGACAAAGAAGAATAACAGATGAATGCACTAGACAAAGTAAACAATAATAAAGATATAAAATAAAACACCAAACAGGCTACGCCAAACTTGCGCCCGTCCATGGCCAACCAGATAATTATATACTAAAATGCCATCATCATAAAACCAAACAGCATTAAACGCATACCCAAACATGAAAATTACATAAAAGCTATGCCATTCATCCATTAAGTCTTGCTCGCCCAGGCAGTACGAGCAGGACATCATTCGTTCAAAGATAGACCCATATAGGTACGGGTCAGAAATAATTCATCCAACAATCCCAGTGTGACACTCGCTCACACACCTCAACCCAGCCCCAGTGAGTGTCCATTCACTCCCGCCCATACCCCCTCCCACCACTCCCCATCTTCTCAATAGAACTCATAATCCCCCGACTACTACCGCTACTATTCGACCCGCTCATTCCAAGACCACTACCAGGCCTAGGCAATCCCATCATCCCATGGCTTTTATTCCTCTCATGGCCGGCCCCCGCCCCGGGCCCTCCGACCCGTCCAATCCTCGACTCAGGTTTCGCGAGGCCACTCATACCACCCCCCGGCGCACGCAGACTCGACGGCCGACCAGCCCCAGAGATACTACTCCTGAAATTGCTAATTCCCGTCGTCATCGAGTCTCCATTACGGTCACCGGCATTAGGAACCTGCTGCGACAGCCGCTTTGCAGTAAGGGGCGTCCCCCTAGACGGAGGAGGAGGAGCCACGGTATTTCTCCTCCCAGGTGTCTTGTTGCCCATTGACATATTGGCCGCCGATGCAGAAGAAGAAGCTTGTGATGTCATCCCCGTCGACGAATGGCCGCCATCGTTGTTAAGGGTGGCGCCGCTGCTAGAGGAGCTGCTCCTGCTCAACCGGTTACTGTTATTGTTCTGAATACCATTGTTGCTGCTGTTCCCATTGGAATATCCACCACCACCAGCACCACCACTGCTATTGCTGAATCTCTTTTCGTCTCTTTGTGCCTGCTGCTGTTGCTGCTGCTGTTGCATCTGCTGCTGTTGCTGTTGTTGTAGTTGATATCGTTCGTAGTCCTCCTGCTCTCGTTGTTCCTGTGCCTGCTGCTCGGCAACCATAAAGCTCTGCTGCTGTTGCTGCTGCATGTTCATCATCTCCTCGGCCAGCTGGACCAGCTCGCCCTTCTCGACCCGCTCCCGCTCGAGAAGGTGTCTCAGCTCAGCATTATCGCCCTGCACCGTCTTGAGCATGGCCTTGAGTTCTTCAATCTGGGCGTCGAGCTCCTTGATGTGCGTCGTGTCCTGCGCCTTCTCCCTCTTCCTCTCCTCCTCGAGCTCCGTCAGTCTGGCGAGGTCCATCTTGGTCAAGTTGCTATCGCGCCCCGAGACGCGCAGCTCTTCGTTCTCCTTGGCCAGCTCGTCCACCTGGTTCTGCAGCTCGCGCACCTTCTTCTCCCACCGGCCCTCGTAGCTCTTCTTGAGCGCCGCCACCTTGACCTCGTGTTTGCTCTTATACAGAGCATGCAGCTCCCTCGCGACGCGCTCCACAGCCATCTCCACCTCCTTGTTGGACGCCCCAGGACCAGTCGGCGACTTGATACCTCCGTCAGCAGCAGCCTCAGCGCTGGCCTTACCAGCCCGCATACCCGCCATCTTGCTCTCGGCATCCTGGGCCATCATCTCGGCCGCCTCGCGCCGCTGCTCCGACTCCTGCAGCTTAAACTCGAGCTCCTCGCGCTCGCGCTGGCCAAGGACGATCTCCTCCTTCACCTTACGAAGAACAGACTCCATCTCCCGGCCGCGCTTCTCCCAGGAGTCCCTCTCGTTCACGATGGTGTCGTGTGTACCCCGCAGATCTCTCAGGTGTTCCATGCACTCGCCTACCCGCTTCTCGGCGTCGCTAACTGCCGTCTTAAGGGACAGGACCTCGGCCTCCTTGCCGCTAAGCGAGGCCTTTAGGCTGGAGATCTCGGACAAAAAGTTGGATTTTAGGGACTCGAGTTCGCGCGGGGTGATGGTCGGGATGCTTCGCGGTGTGGGCATGGGTGGGATGTCGAAATCGAGCAGGCTGGATATGCCTGATCTTTGTGGCGTCGCTCCAACCGTTTGTCCTGTCCGAGCTGGAGAGAGCTGTCGGTTCCGCGAGGGTGTCTGTTGCGAGTAAGCCCCGAAGCGGAGCTGTTCGGTGAAGTCGAGTAGGTTTACGGTGCTGTTGCTGCCGGCTGAGTCGTACTGCGCCGCCGAGCGGTCAGATCCGTTACCTGGCGTGGTGCGTGAGTGAGATGTGTCCGGTCGCCCGGTGCGGGGCGTTGAGCCGCCGAGCACCGAGAATTTGGTCGGAGAGTTGCTTCGCATTCGTGCTAACATGGTCATATCGGCAGAGAAGTTGCTAAACGTGCTAATCATTGTATCGTCGGCCGCTGAAGGCTCGTCATCGCCGGCGAGGCGACTCTCGTCGTGATCCATCTGCCCCTGGTGTAATGCGGCCGCGTCCATGGAAGCTTGTAATGTCTGGTTCGCATTGTTGCCGCCCGTCTTGCCATGTTCACTAGATTCGATCTCGAGCATGCTTTCGTCGTCTTCAAAGATCTCAATTGCATGCTTGAGTCCGGGGTTCTCTTGGATTGCGTCGTGGAGATTGATGCGGCGGGGGGACTCGTTTGCAGTATTCCCACTGGCAGGAGGACTTGTTGCACTCCCGTTTGTTGCGGCTGGTGCCGAGTTGACCTTTATCGGAAACCGTTTGATCGGAGCACCGGCCATCTTCCTGGGACTGTTCGGCAGAGGAGGTGGTGGCATCGATTTAGCGGGCGATGGTGTGTCATCACTCGCGGCCGTCGCCGCGGGTGGCGGTTGTTGCTTGTCCCCATTGTGAGTCTGTTGCTGCTGCTGGACAATCTTGAGAGGGGAGAGCTCGCCGCCCGAAATGATGCGAGATATGGGCCGCGCTCGAGGCAGCGAGTGGGCGGTTGGTGGTGAAGCGTCAGACATGAATGGAGAGCTGTTGTCGTTGTTGCAGCCGTCGTCACTGTCGCTATTGGGGGAGAGGGTGGAGGTCATGGAGGTCATGGATCGCTGTGGTGTTGACTTGTTAGGCTCTATTGGCGAGAGCGGTGAAGGCATTTTTGGCGCCCTTGTGTTTAAAGGAGACCGAACTTGAACCAACTCCGGAATAAATGCGCTTCGTCGTCGAGGAATGCGGCAAAATATTCGTAAAATCGTGCTGCGCAATGTTTTGCAGAGAGTCCAGTAATCTCGTCCCTTTAAGAATCTTGAATCAAGCTTTCAGAATACGCCTTCCAGGACCACTCGTTCCCTGGGAATTGGTGTGTTACTGGTTTATTTGGGCAATGCGACGTCTCTGTATTCGGCCAATTAGAGCGGGATCTGCATCTGGTATTTGGGGTCAGTTTGGCGAACTTTGGCCCGGCAACACCATGTCGTAGCTTCGTTTCAGGGGACGACGCGGGCACGTGACTTCCCCTGAACGACACATGCATGTCCCGCGAACAAAGAAATAAGGTTTATCACGGTAAAATGGGTCTTTATGCAAAATCCGATAAATGACATTGATGAAGCTGGTTTGACGTCTGGGACGCCCGTCCACCAACAAGATTCACTGGGTTGCAATTATACATGCTAGCCAGGCCATTATCCAGAGTGCAGAGGCTTTGCCAGCTCATTATAGCAGGCGATCATCACTCAAATAAGTGTCGGGTTCCATGGTTTGACTTGAACATTTAACGCCAACACAAAGAAATATTGAAGATTAAAAGCAGTAATTCGGGTATCATTACCCTGGACGGAGACTAACATACTAATTTCATCGTTCCATAAGTTTTTCATTCTTGGACTCGCTCAAGTTGTCGCAATTCATCTCCAAAGACTGTCAGATTCATGCCGTCGCATTGAGTGAGAGTGAAAGCAAC